ACAAAGTTGTGTTTATCATTAGGCATATCTACATCACCACTGTTATTAACATGTGCAAATAACAAGAACTTGTTATGTTATGTTCCTTGAATATTTCTTTACCCAGAAATGGATGCTCACAAGGATCCTCAGAACATTAATATGTCTCCGACCACGAAGATGTGAATAATCAAAATGTTTGCGCTAAGCTGGTCACGAGGTCTCATAAGATTGCAGGTGTTATAACTTATCCATCCAGTTTGAGGAAAACGTGCGGATTAAGCCTATGACACCTTAGTGCTCGGAGGCTCTGCCTTGCTAACACACACAAACTCTGGCCAATTTCTACTGACATGGTGTGCTAAATACCAATGCTAATCTGTGAATCGTTGTCCTAAAAAATAATTGGAAAAAGTCAATACATCACTATAAAATTGTTGATGGCATTTCTTTGACCGTGATAAAATAACTTAGGTTTTTAATTTAACCAAATACTGAAACTTTATAAAAATCTATCGCAAAACTCTTACTGTTTTATATTTTAAAGAAGATTGGCTGAGTTTTATGACGGTCGTTTCAGCTCCATTTACCAAATAGGTTGAAGTGGATTACTGATGTTCACAGTAAGCTTTTGAAATAATCCATGAAACATTTTTAAACTAATATTTACCTAATGATTTATATGTAAGCTGATAGAATAAAATCCCAAAACATATACTCCTCAAGACCATTGTAGTTTTTGTTATTGTTGCAATTTTATTAGTTTGAATACCAAACATTTTTACATTATTTTCACCACACTTCACAGCTAACAGCCGGTTTCTTGTATATTTTTTGTATAAAAGCTGTTATCTATGACAAGGGCCCTATAAAATTAGCAGAAGTGATAACCGTCGAATACTCTTGCGGAGCACTTTTTTCAAAATTTGCATGATTATAAGTTTATGAGTTATGACCCTGTAGAAAAAAAATACTATTACCTGGCAAAAATCAACTTTTCTATTGTCTAGGTTAAAACCGACTGTTATTTTGATAACATATTGTAACTTCTTAAATTTTTCCTGTCATCCAATACAACGTTGGCAACTTGATTGAACGTAAACATAGGAGATTGATATTTTGCGTTGGAATGTTATCAAACTAAAGTGATCCTTGAGCTTTACACTCCATAGTGTACACATAACAACTGAAAGTAAATTTTTCAAGAAGCTTGGGGATTAATAATTTACATCACGCTAACCATGGTCAACATAACTAATTAGAGTTGCATGTTCTATGGAACTGAATACTGTACTACAGCACATGATAAAATAATTCAGTAATCCCAATGATGAAAACATTGCTCACACTTTGGAGATATATATAAGTTCTTAGTTAGCAGTGCCATTTACTTTTAAGGCCGTTAAATATATAATTTCGATTGAAACTTTAATTGTGTTATTCTTTTTCAGACTAATGAGGTTTCACTAAAATTCTTGGTAAGAACCGTTATGTCTTGTTTTATTTATCTTCATATTGAAAGTTAAAGCTGTATAACTACTTCCGTATTATTTCAGACATCGATAATATTTAGAACAACGACCCTTATGCTTTCGTTATGAGGTTAGAGATAAATTATACTTAGAATCAATGGTCGTAAAGTAATTAAAAATAGTTTATATCACCTTTTTTGTCGAGGAGTCCCAAATTATTTGTTACTTAACACGGATTTCTGGTTTGGGCCTTTTTAAGCAATTATAATTTGGGACCATTAGGATTATAATTTCATATCCTTTAATCTACAGTATTTTTGAATTTTCAAGGTGAAAAAGCTTTCTATGATATAATCTTAATGCAGGAACGTAAAATATCGGTCAATATGTCGCATTCATACATTTTCATTATGTATAACTATTTGTATTGTGAATTTTTTAACATCTACAAACTCGATAAGAGGCACTTCATATGAACTTTCTTAGTTCTGTTCAACAATTTCTTCAAATACAATGAATTTAGACGTTCACGGTCCCTAATAACACACACAGTTTTATACCTAACACAATATTGTTTATTTGAATTGTTACGTTGACGATATTTTATGTTGAAGTTGCACACTGACCATAGATTCGCAAAAAATTGCAATATTCCAACACTTAACCGGTCTATAAAACTCCTTTCTGCAGCCTTGAAGATTGTTAGTTTTACAATAAAGACACCAAGTTAAACGCCACACCAGTCACGTTTGAGAAGGGACCAAATTACTTTTTGTTTTATGGTTTTGATTATCCCCCAGAGCTTCCGCAATCTCTTTATTAAAACAATGAAAACCAAGTAATGTTTCTTCGCTTCTTCTGTTAGTGTTTTAATTTAAGAGTCCAGAATTAGTTTAAGGGCTTAATTTGTTGGTTTTATTTTGTTTAAATGTGTGTGAAAAATAGATCAAGAATTAATAAACCGGAAATAAGCTATTTTGCGTAGGCCTACTGTTTACTGGTGTGGCAATGTGATACTTTCCATCTAGTGGTACGAAATCCCTTAATACAGAGTGCACCGTAAATAAACAGCTAAACTCCGGAAAATAGTACTATGGGTCAAAATAAAGGGAAAATCATCAATGAAACCTTTTCCATGATCGATTCTTTTACCAGATATCCACATATTTGTATTTTTACATAAACATTTAATATTAGGATTATTACAACCAATCTTTATGAAACTTGGTATGTACTTTCAGACAGAATAGACTCATGTGAAAAAAAATCTTCGTTCAGTTCAAAATTTCAAAATGGCATTATTAATTATTTATATATTTATATAATATATTAAAAGATGGCTTATTTTATGAAATGAAAATGGCAAAAACACTTTTACTTAATATATATCCTATCAAACAATCCCAAGTTTAAAAAATATCGAATAATAAATAGCCGAAATACGATGATTTTTTTATAAGGCCAGATTACCAGTAAAAACCAGTAAGCAGGTCAATTAAATTTTTGAAACATTACTCTAAAATGTCCTGCAATTAAAGACAAAAGTTCAGCATAGTAAATGGCAAGCAAATTGCAGCAAATTGACATTTTGTGAGGATGGTGCGACCATTGGAGCAATGTAACCTAACCTAACCTGAAGGTTGATAGGTATTATAGAGATTAGATGTGGCCACCGGGCGGAGTTGGACTGGACACTTTGGGGGCCATAAAACTATTCCTCATCCAAAATCTGACCACCACGCGGAGTTGTGCTATCCATCAGTCAATTTTAAGTCTAAAGCCTTGAATATTATTTATGGGACGACGTGTTACTGTGAGCAGGTAGAGAGTTAAACCGCAAGCCAAATCCGAGGATTTCGGTCCGAAAAAGTTACCTGGGCCGAAGTGTTACGACAAGATTGAAAAACCTTACATTAAATGCAAATAAACCGTTTATATGCATAATTTGGTTACCACGCTAAAAAACATATTTGTTAACTCAAACTTGCCGTTAAAACAGTTTACAGGGCGCAAAACAAACGGACAATCACTACTGTTCTTCAAAAAAAGTAAATAATAATTACCAAAGAAACAATTTTGACATAAAATAAAAATGATTTTGTCGTATTTTGTATATGAATACTACAGTTATGACTACTATATATATGGATTGAGTGATTAAAATAAGTAAGGGACACTTCATATGGTCTTACCTAGTTGTGCTTGTTGTATAGCGAAGATGTCTTGACCTCTTTCAACCTCTTACATAATGTAATCCCTTAGAACAAGGTTCCGCAGAGGGACTCTGAAAGAATGCTCGGGTTGATCTGAAAACCCAGATAAGACCTTCCAGAAACTTAATTTTCTACTTCAACTATTTATCAAGATGAAATCTAAAGACATGTTGTTTAAAAAATCCTCAATGGTTTTAATAATGTCAAACTAACATGACTTCAACAAATAGTGAATTGAAAAGGAGTTTTACCAACACTACGATGTTTTTACCCGTTCTAAAAACGTTTTATTGCAATAAATCGGCATCCATGCCGATAGCTACGTATTGCTGTCTATGCCAGTTGTCATCGTCATTCGGGAACCAATCAGGTTTCTTACATTCCTAGGACCGAAAATCTACTGTTTGCTTACTTTCCTATAGTATATTTCGTACCTAGGGCCGAAAATTTGGGTTTTCCTGCTCGAGATAGTTTTTAAGTTCGAGACGAGGTCGAGAAATTGAAACGATCGAGAGCTGCAAAACCATTTCGGTCCGAGGTACAGACGCTATTTTTCACCACACTGTACCCTATTACCACTATTCACCACACTATACCCCATTACCACTATTCACCACAATAATAGTGCACACTGAAAGTCAACACAACCCCAAAACTTTACGGTTATGCGAAAAAATAATTTGAGGAATCATCAAAAATAATAATAAATAACTTCTAGGCAGAGGTTATAATAAAACAAGTATATTGCAATGCTATGGGCACTGACTGTTATTTTGCATTATTATTGTGGTGAATTATAGTAATAGTATATTTTGGTGAAAAATAGCGTTCATACCACGGACCTGAATGGTTTTGCAACTCTGGGTCCTTTTAAGTTCTCGAACTTAAAAACTATCTCGAGCCGGCAAAACGCCATTTTCGGCCCTAGGTACGAAATATATTTTTACAATACTGAGCAAATCAACTTTTCAGGTATACGAAACCAATGTTTTAACTTCCTTTTTAATGTTTCGATTTTTTTATTCACTAATGACGGCTGTCATGAATGCTTTTTTAAATTGTTTTACAACACTAAGATAAATGTAAAAAATATTAACTTGTACATATTTTTAGTGGGCTGTTATAAGCTAATGTAATTTTTATATATGATTAATTTTGTACATTAATATGATTAGCTTTAATATACGTGAGATAATTATTCAAAATAGTTATCACATTAAAATAGAGTTTATTTTATGTTGTGTTGTAGTGTGTTTAAATTGAATGTTTGTATGTACTGAATTTGTTTTGTAATTTAGTTCGAATGAACATTATAAAGGTTTGTTTTCTTTTTCAGAATCATGATGGTCTGAAGTACTGAAGTCTGCACAAACACAGGTAAGACACGTAACAGAAGTAAAAGATAATTGAGAGATTTTTTATACTCTTTGGTTACTGGATTCAACAAAACAAATATTCATGTAAAATATATATGCTTCATAAACATATTTTGGCCCATTAGCAATTCCTTGGGATATTTTTTTGACATGAGAAATTGTAATAGCAATAACGTGTAAGATTAAATATGTTGTTTCGGAAAGATATTAATGCAATATAAATATTGCATAGGTCATAGTTTATGTGAATTATGTTGTTATGACTAAGTATAAGTTGTGGTCTCTTTAAACTACATTACTATAGTGAACTTGTTCCTAAACTAAACCGCTGTCAAAACTTCGTTGTATCATTTCATAAAACCAATTACTAAACATTTTCTTAAAAAATTGTTCTCATATAAAATACAATTTAGGGCACTTACTATCAACTTTTAACCTGCAGTATAAAATTTGGTTAAGCTGTAAAATTAAGTTATTCGTTTTAAAGTACAAGCAATTGTATAACCAACATTTATTTTGTAACACTCTATGAAAATTACATACAAGTAGTACATATACCTCATGGAATAATCCTCAGTAGAACAAAAGGTAACTATTCCACCTTTCCATCACATATATACCTATCTCACAATCACAACCATATTATTGTCGACATATACATGTCTAATGATGTCTATTAACAATTATGGCCTAGTAATAATTAGGATACTGCATATACAAACTCTGGGAAGGATCAAATATTTCAAGCTTGACGAATTAGGGAGACAAAATTATTTTCAAACCTATATTTTAACCTGGTTTAGTAATAAAACAGCCAATTAAACCCAATCAACTGTCCAATCGTGGAGATCCAAGATACCATACAAGCCTACAGGCAATTAAGGGTCAATGATTGGTTGTGTATTGTGTGGTCATCACAACATGTCACTATCAGGAAAATATCAAACTGATAGTAAGTTTAATTAATTTAGTTTCTCCATTTACTAAATTAATTTTTTTATAGAAATATATTGTTTTTTTTTATTACATATATTGATTTAAGGGGTTTTTATGCCTTTACTAGTACTCAAAGTGTACAATAAAGAAAAACATATCCAAACAATGACACACAATATATCAAACCAAATATATTATTTAACTATAAAATTAACCATTCCACCTAACTTGATGTATAATTGATTAAGCTAACAAATCATTTGTTGGAACCGCCTTATGTTCCTGTTGATTATTTCGGTATGCAACTTTTCACTGCTTTAATTTATCCTTAAACAACTTTTAACAATACATTCAACCATATAAAAAATGTGTTAATGTTTCTGGAAGCTTTAAAAACCATTATAGTAAGTTTACATTTGCATTGAAAAGTTAAACTAAAATAACTTCAAATCATACTCATTTGTTACCGTATATACTCGAGCTTCAAGTGAACGCCAAACCAATAATCAGCTGTTGATTCCCTTGACACTTCTCGTGTTGTGGACCAAACAGCTGATCAACGCGTTGATTACGCCGCAGCCTAAGTCAAACATTGATTAGTGACAGGTAATAAGACCATTCCCAAGAACACCTATTAGAGGGCATGTGGCTGTGATCTATTCTCCACCACCCTTTAACTTATATTTTGGCACCCATATTTATAATTATAGTTTAGGGCATATGAGGAAAAATATGGTCGTGTGTAAAGTATACATATGATACAGAAATATTCCAGTACAGTATGTGTTCATTTTCTTATAAATATTGCGGCTGATTCAGCAAAATGGTAGATTCTACTGTATTGAAATTGTAATGCAATTATCCAGAAAGTACAATTCCCCAGACTCATAATTTGGACCATTCTTAGAATTGGATTTAGGTCATTGATTTTTATTGGTTGAAATAAAGTTTAATTCAATAATTTGGCATGGATTTAGTTTTAATATTTTCAACAATGAGGTCAATGTAATGCTTTAAGCTATAAGGAGGTGGGTTAGAGCAATAAAGATATATAGTCAGAACAATTATATCTTTAATAGCCAGTGTTATTGTTGTTTTTAGCGAATTTCCCTATAGGGAAGTAGCTATTACCGTAGGTGGCACGGTAAGACCTAGACCCGGGACCGATTTACTTTTTCATTTTGATGTCCCCAGAGGCCAAAAACACTATTCGTTCAAATTTTTATATATATAGATTTATATATATATATACGTCCGTGAACGCGATAACTTGAGTAATTTTTGTCCGATTTTGATGAAATTTGGTTTAAAGGTGTAAAGCGGGATAAACTTGAATGAGTTCACGAACCAGCACGATCGGACCATGGGAACGGGGCTTTACGGGGGGTTTTATGGGGTAAAAATTGGGTTTTCTCACTTTTGACCCTCAAAACACAAAATTTCCCAATTTCTCTTTAGAACTTTTTAAAGAGCAGCAAACCTAGGTACTCGTTAAACCTTATGTTATTAAAAAATATATTTAACTGAAAATAAATTCAGACAAATGGAAATTCGCTTAGTCGGCAGGTTTGCTGCGGCGGGGGTATTTATTCCATACATAGACCCATGATGAGGCTAAGCTCATAACAATCGGTCTTTAATAAATTATTAAATTAAATTCATGCCATGTTTCTATAAAAATAACAACATCCAAATAAAGTTTAACAACAACATCCGACCATTTTGTTTCTTTAATTATAACTCTAATAAACATGTAAAATGCGTTTTACGGTGCCAGCTATTCGTAACTTATGAATGTAAATTAAATACCGGTAGGTACTAATTTATTTAAAAATAATAATTGTCATTATATGAGGAATTAAATTTGTATTATAATTTTTCATTAAAATATACATATACAAAAGTGTACATACATTGCACCTAGTATTACAGCACTACTGTATTGAAATAACTAAACTTAATGTGATATTGAACTCAAACTCATGGTGATACAATGTCATACTACTGATAATAAAATTAACAACGGAAAAATACTTTCAATAGGCACAAAAATACTTAGCATATTAGAAAACTTCTTGATCAACATTGTATGAAGAAAGAAAATAAAACAAAACCGTTTATTAATTCATTGATACTTCAACTATTTTAAGTTTCAAGTTCATAACACTTGTAGTATGACGGATAATTTATATAAATCTATATTTCTAACTTTCAGAACTGCAAAATTTTAGTTTCTGATTGCACCTAACCAAAAGCAGTGACCCACTTATAGAGACATTTTCAGTTAGAGAAATACAGTACCACTAGAGAATTTTATAATTTAAAGAAATTATTTTTATTAAGTTATTACTCCTGACTATTACAAATAAGCCATTCAGTTTTCGTTATAGACCATTGTTAAGTTTGACGTACAACATTATACTTCTCTGAGGCAATGTACATAATACATCATTGTATGTAGTTCTACATTGTATCGCATTACAGCCTCAGGCAACTTGGGCAACAACAACAAATACAAAGCCCTTTAAAAGAACAACATTTCAGGCCATTCAATATTTAGTTTAGCTCTGCCCAATGTTACTTGTTTTTGTGTGTACAGTTTATACATACGCTAGTTTGAGACTGAAAATAAACTTATGTTTATTAGGTTTTACATCTTAACTGAAGTACAATTTAATAAAAATAAAAATAAAATCCAAGCACTACAAGTAAAGTAAAATTATCTTTCTGTCAATCTTTGTATTTATAATTAAGTTTTCTTATACAATTTTATATGATACTCCAACTCATCCGAAAACTCTTATACAAAAAAATTCACATAATATTTATTTTTTCCTTTACATAGAAAATCGAATCAAAATTTTCGCGAAGCAATTATTTGTATTCAATATTTTTATATTTAGGTTACGAGTTGTGAGGTGAGTCATAACACCAAAGTTAATAGGGGCGTATTAGTGGAAGAATATTAGGAAAATCGACCTAACAAATTCGGACTAAGTGGAAACTTTGCACAGTTGTTTAGTAAGCCTAAATAAATAAAATATCAAAAGTCCCCGTAAATCCCGGCTGTGCTTCAGCCGCCATCTTGGAAAATGGCGGCCAATTTTCACTTTTTTGACAATATTTCACAAACTATTGGTATTAGAGAATTTTTGTGAATACAAAAGTTAAAGAACGTCTAAAAATACATATTTTTATATTACAAGGTTTGCTCTATCCCTAACGGTTATTGAGATAAATAATAAAAATAGTATTAAATTTATAATTCCCATGTTATTCTTATGGAGGAAAATAAAATTGTTGCAGTTTGCTTATTTATGGATATATTTGGATAAAACTTGGCAAAATTATTTATTTTATACTAAGCTATTAATATTTAACATAAATACACGCTTGATTACTCTCCCCATAGCAGTAAACCGAGTACTCGTTTAATTTAAAGTTATTTATATAACGAATATAATATATTACATTTTTAGGATAAATTTTTCGTATAAATCCACTATCCAGTCAGGTAAATGGATATTAATTTGTACATCGTATTAACAATAATTTTTCTTATTAGTATTATGATTTAAAGCTCACTAACTATCTTGTCACTACTATGTAACTACTCAAAACTTACATGGTACGTTAATACTCCCGGTATAATTATTTTGTCAGTAAATATTAGGAAATTCAACCTTAAAATCCGGACTATATTGAAATTTTGCACAGTTAAGCACAGTAAGCTTAGTTTATGAAAATGGCAAAAGTCCCCACAAATTTCGGCTGTGCTCAGCCGCATTTAGTCAGGATTTTAAGGTTGAATTTCCTAATATTCACCGACAAAATAATTATACCGCGAGTAATAAGTAGGCTTACCATGTAAGTAGTTACATGGTAGGGAAAAATTTAATACTAACAAGGGAAAACTATTGTTAATCTGTCAAAAAATAAATTTCCATTTGCCTGACTGGATCATTACTAAAATATTTTCTAAAAATGTAAGAATATTCCCTATTTAAATACGGTAACTTTAAATTTAACGAGTACTAGGTTTACTGCTATGGGGAGAGTAATAAA